TAAAAGTTGCGCGGTAGAAACATTGTAAAATCAAAGAAACGCACATTTTACATCAAATCATTTTAATGAATTACTTGAATTAATTTAATTCCTTTGTCTTCCCGTACCACACTAAACTACTTTTAAAAATGTTTTTTCAATCTCCACATAAATAGAGATAGAACAGCTATACAATCTTTAGAGTAAAGGCATTAGGTAGCCATTACTGACATAGATATGCTCGAACAACGACAAGTCTTAAACATAGGTATCACACCTTATGAATTAGCAAATGACCTACATCATAATTGGACCACATTGAACATAACCCTTAAGAATAGTCCACTCAATCATCTCAAGACCCTACTCCACACTATAATATTGAATGCCCATGCTATCCAACACATCCTTTGATACAATATCATCTATAAGGCTGGAGATAGGATCAATATCGCACCCCATCTATCCATAGTCACTTATTTTTGTATGGTTGGCAGTAGGAGTGTCAATATTTGACACAACACGAAACCTGATCCAAACCGTCCGCGCGTCCGAGCCCAAGTGTCGCCAGCGCGCTCACACACCCGAGTCCGCATACCCAAGTCCGCACGCCCGAGCACCCGCGTCTGCGCACCCGCGTTCCGCCCACCTACGTTCCGTGTTGGGTCGGGTCGACCCGACAACCCGACGGGTCGGGTCCAGGTCCGAGTTTCCGACCCGTTTACCTACCCGGGTTGAGTTAGGGTCGACCCGATTGAACCCGGATCAGTTCCGAGTTCTACCCGAACCCAACCCGTGACCCGAAATTTACACCCCTAGTTGGCAGTGAGTTTAACATAACCAATCTCTTAATCTAGTATGTAAAAAGTACGAGCTACATTAGAAATCCCAGAGTTTGTTGAAAGTAGAAGCTAAGTACAATCTCATCCACCAAGAACTGCTATATCACCTTCCCACTTATTTTATAGACCACTCATTTCACCTTATTTATAGTCAGAGTGGTAGATTAGTGGCCTTCTAACTATTGATTATGTTATTTGATATTGTGTCGTGTGGGTTGTGTTTTGTTTGTTTTTTATCTTTAGTATCTTTTGTATTTTTTTCTCCTTTGTGTTTCTTTTATTTTCCCAAAAAAAAACATTAAAAGAAAGTACAACTTTTGCACTACCAAAATGGATGAAAAAATGAAAAAGAAAAACTTATTGCACTTTATGTCATTTTCTTATATTATATTATATAAGATGCATAAAGTGAGAGGGAGAAAATGAAATTGATACTATAAAAATTAAAACATAAAATAACAAGTCATACTATATGATTCACATTGTTCTGTATGATAAGCTATTTGAAATTTAAATGACTAGTTTTCTATATTTCTAATAGTAGGTAAATTTAAAATTTGAATTGATTATACTATACAAATCTAATTCATACTAGATGAGATTTAAATTAATTTTAAATATTTTCATATTTTAGAACCTAAAATTAATGAGTGGAATTAGAATATAATCTATATTGCATGATTCATGTCGTATAGGCCAAACAAATAAAGAGCATGTTTGGATGATATCTATTTGGACAGGATGATTTAATGCGTTGAGTCAAAGACTTGAACTAACTATATTGTATGATATATATCAAAGAGGCTGATCAAATAAAGAAGGATTTAGATTATTTATACTAATCAAGTTGTATGATCCCTTAATCATATTGTACGTTCAGGCATACAACTTTCATAAACATCCTATTTAGGATTTCTTTTGAAATCTAAGTATAAATATCAAGGTGTTTTTAAACTTGGCTTGAAAGCTGTGAGGGACTTAATTTGGAGAGAAGCTTTCAAGAGGGTATTGAGAGATCTTTTGGGAGGGACCAAAAGAGTGACCACTTATGAATAAGAGATTCACCAAAGATTACCTATTTTAATTTCTTCTTTCCTTAATGTGTTGTGGTAATTCTTGTGTGATTAAATGCGGTGAGTCGTGGTGAGAAGGCTGAGATCTAGTCAAGGAAGCTAGGGAGAAGTAGCCTTTCATGGAGAAATATATTGTAGGGTTCGTCCATCACCCATGAAGGAGAATGACTTCTCCGTCTTGTTGGGAGCAAATGAGAGATTTCATCACCTTACTTGAAGCAAAGTGAGAGAGTTAGTAGAATTTCAAAGTAGAATACTCAAGGAGTTGATGTATGTCAAGAGTTACCAAATCACTATAAATTGATTTGCGTTTCTTTTTTACTTTCTTCTATATATATATATATAAGCCTCATTGGCAATTTGAACATTTTAACATATTTTGTCAAATTGAAACCAACCAATCTTTAAAACTATTTTAATTTTTTAAACATAAATGAATTCAGTTTAATTGATCTTTGGCCAAGCTCAATTGGGGTCATTTTCCCAAAATTGGCCCAAATAAACTACAGCAAAGTGTTGTTCTATACCGTTAACTTTTCTCAACTTCTACAGTCATGCATGTAATCACTGTGATGGAAATCAAGGGTTGAGAAAGTTTTTGGATTTCAAAGGATATTAAATTATGTTTCTATTTTTTACTAATACTTATATAATAATAAATCTTAAACACTAAGCCATTTCCTTCATTTCTCCCAAACAAAGATATATTGTGGCAGAGAAACCATGGGAGAAGAAGGGAAAAAGAAGAAAAGGAAGCTTAAGAAACTTAGGTACAATTCAGTTTTTTTTTTTTTTTCGCTTGCTTTTTCTTCCATAAACTGGGCTTGCACTAAAGTTCTTGAGTTTAAAGGCATATATGTGAGGTTAAAATATCATTTAGAGTTTATTTCGTGCTAGATTGAGTTATTGAATTAAGAATTATTATAAATTGAGAAAATCATTATTTCTAGGTAGTTTATAAAACATCAAGACTTCAGAGAGAAAGAAAAAGGAACTCCATCCCTAGGAGGATCCTATAATCTTGATGAGATACTCAATTTCTAATATAAGGAGTAAATTATTCATTAGTCTAATGTTTATAAATTCCTATGAGTATATTGGTCTATTATGTATATGCTAATAGAATTTCTTCGTATTTTTATGATATTAGAAAGTTTATATGGCGGCCTATTAATCGGGTTCATCATCATTTCACCCATCATCACTTTATTTGTAAGACAATAAATTTCAAATTCAATACAAAAATCACTGCTATTGTATGCACAGTACTTAGTGTCTACCTAATGACTAGCCTTAACTGAATGTTCTTTGTCATTATCGAGATGGGTAATTAACCATAAGGCCTAATGCCTATGGGAAACTTCAAATTAGATCATAAATTCCCAAAAAAAAGAGGGGAAAACCTTTGGGTTATCTTCTTTTAAAACTAATCTACCTTTTGAAATTTAACTCGAAATATTTTGTTAAAACTCTCCTTAGAATGTAAAGAGGATGGGGTGTGAATTTTCAAAGCCCGCAATTTGATTTGTGATAGGTTCTTAAGTTAATTTTTTTCCATTAAAATTTTGATGATCAATTTGTATTCAATTTATGAACAAATTTTTTCTTAAAGTTAAGGTATTATCTAACCTTTTTTTTTATTGCAAATTTTTTTTTTTCTATATCTCGTGGATGATGTATAGAATACACCAAGTCAACAATCAAAAACCTAAAGTGTTGATGCATACTAATAATTTGGCCGGTCAACATGTGCATAGAGGTCTCTCTCCACTTAAGGATAGAACTTGCAAGTATATTATGTTCCTTATGATAAAGCTTTTTATAGGCAAGGGTTTTTAAAATATCTCAGTGTCATCTTAGTACGGTCGATAGTTGACTTCTTGACCCATATAGGATTATAAAACTAGTTGGATTGCTATAGTTGCATTTAATTGTGTTATCTTAGGCATTCCTTATACTATTATGGAGTATAAGCCTTACATCCTTTTAGGATCCTCTTAGAATTCATTTGTCTATGATTTTAAAATTTCTTTCCTCGTTTTAAGATCACAAGGCTAACTATGTATTATGCAATTTATGGTTTCTTATAGAACATCTCATGGCTAGGCTGGGTTGACTATCTTTACTAGTAAGTGGTTTCATGCTTGATAGCTTGGGATGGCTAACTCACGACGTCCTAATCAAGGTTATTTCTACCTTTTGCTTGTACTTCTTAAACTATCCATCACCCCTTTGAATCTTTTTTACTCCTCTTAAAGTCTTTATTGATTTAATGATCATTATCATATAGGCTTTTAGTTGGGAGACAAAAGCTTTACTTAGCTACAATGATTAACCCTCTACATTCTACATTGTCATGTTTCGAATTATAAGTTGCATATTAGGATAACAATATCTGAATCACGATCTTCTTTCATGTTAACTCGAGTAAATTAAAACAAAGATGTGGTTTATTTTATTGAGAGTATCTCTTAAAGGTGCTTTCGAGAGTAATTAATATTAAGAAGACTAGTTCCTTTAAAAGATTTATCAATCCAAATTATCCGTGTGACTTGATTTTTCTTAAGTATTTTATATTAGTCGAGAAAAAATTGATGGTCCTACTCCATTTGACATTTTCCCTTAGCCCTTCTTATAAATTCTTTTAATATTTCATTTGGGATGAATTTTTACTACTTAAAACAGCTTTTAGTACTAAAAAACTGCTTTAAGTAGCATTAAAAAATCATCCCAAATGAACCTAAACTTCATAAATTCATCAGGTAGTTGCATATGACTAGAAATCAACAATAATTTCAAACTTCAAGAATTTCTTTAAAAATTCTCATAAAAATAGTGTTTTCTTTTTTTCACATTTTTAATGAGTGAAAATCAAATAAATATTTTTAAAAACATTTTCTAAATGCAAGCAGCCGAATATTCCCTATGCTAAATTTAGCAAGGAATATTCTAGCCAATCTTCTTCCTAACTACTTTAACATGACACAATGCAGAAAAAAATAATACAGAACACAATAACAAGAATTCAATTATATCGACCTTTTTTTTTTTCCAATTAGGCTGCTTTCTCTACCTCATTCTTTTTGTCAACAGCAGGAGGCTACACTGTCTAACAATATAGCTACCATTGTCACAGAAAATTTATGAAATGAACATTTATCAATAAACAGGTCTTGAAAAGAATTCTCAGTATATGCTTGTACAACTTGCATCTTTCCTCCTTTTCTATCTTACAGCACAGAGATGGTACTGATGCAATTAAGGCTTTGTTTGGAACAATTTCTTTGCTATTTTTTAAAACGGCTTTTTAGTACAACTAAAAAGCAGTTTTATAAAATAGCCAAAAAAACTGCCTCAAACGAACGAACGAGGGAAATTATTGGGTTCGGACACCGGACGACGTCCAGAGCCAATGAAAATGCGTCACATCACCTCCTACTCGGTACTGAGCAGTACCAAGCAAGACCGAGCTCAGTACTTCATAGTACCGAGCTCAGTATTGCTCGGTACTGTGAAGTACCAAACGTTAGCTGTGTCTGGTATCCGAACCCAATAATTTCCCCTCAAACGAAGCCAAAGAGTATAGATACAACAAAGTTCATTCCCCGACGGCACCGCACACCGCACCTGATTGCTAGTTTCAGCTACAGGTGTTGGGTGGGCAAGGAAACTCCAGATTCAGGGTTGGACAGCTCCTTCCATATCCGACCAGTGACCCTTAGCTTCAACTCCGTTTGGTCACCACCAGAGATGAGGAGTGCCATATTTCGCTGGATTATGAGACCATCATAACCATCGCGAACCTTTTGATGGCTGTCGCGGATGCTACGAGGAGCTCCCTCCCATATCATCTTTCGGCCATCTGCGCCTACCTCAAGACTATAACAATACTTCCTTGCATCATTCTCATCACCCATATATCGAAGAAATGCCATATATACAGGGGCCTTATGAAGCAGGAAGGCCTCAAAGTGAAGGCAGAAATATTGACCAAAACAATTGAAAACCTGGAGAGAGAGCAGTAGTAGCAATAAGGGTGTTAGATAATCAATATGAATCAGACAGATATCAAGCAATAATAGCACGTTAAAGCATTAAAAAACGCACACATATAGCCTTTAAAGTTTATTGAAAAGGACAAAATTAAACGGGTAATTATTGGGTTCCGACAACGCACACAGCTTACTGTCCAGAGACGAATCAGGTGCAGCCACGTTATCCAGTACGCTCGGTACCAAACTTGGTACTGAGCAGTATCGAGCAGTACCGAGTACTGCTCGGTACCGAGTAGGAGGTGATGTGGCGTACTTTTATTGGGCTCCGGACGGCGTGCGTGTCCGAACCCAATAATTTTCCAAATTAAACAGACTTATTTTATAACCAATGAGGAGGATAATAACTGGTCAATCTTTACTATGCGATACACACAAGAAGATGCTAAAACAGTTTAATTGCTCTTTACAAAGTTGACAAAGACAGAAAAAGAACATACAGTGAGCATCCAGGTGGCGTTATCGACTTCTCTAGGATTGGACTTCACGTATCGATGGTTGAAAGTACAGCCACTGTGCATGTCTACCTTGTGATCATCCTTTAGATGTGAAACAAGTAAAGGAATATCCCCAACAACGGCACATTCAGAGCCGACATAAGGGCAGTTGTATGGTCTGAAGGTACAGTGGGATTCATGTTTAAGCTTGCTGTAGTATGGGAAGATTTCAGGGCATCCCAGCGAGTAGTATTTACAAGGAAGTTTATAACATTCAGCCACCTTTTCCAGAGCTAAACATCTAATGTCTCCAAGCTCCTGTCTACATGTCGGGCAACGATTGTTCACCTTCGCCTTACATGTCGAACAAAGAGTATGCCCATTGCAGCACTGCAAAACCAAGAAGCAAACAAAATCAACAAAAGTTGAAGACATAGGCTTCGTTTGGGACGGCTTTCTTTATGCTTCTTAAAGCACTTTCTAGTACAAATATTTTTAATTTTGTACTAAAAAGCTGCTTTAAGAAATAGAAAAAAAGCTGTCCCAAACGGAGCCATAGTCGATAGTATCAGAAAATCTATTATTTTTTAAGTAACATTCAGAAATCTCAGATTGGGATGCAGTGAACATTCTTAATAAGCAAAAAGCTCACTCTCACTTCAAGGAAAAAATAACACCGCATGTTAGCAATCATGTTTATGCATCCTATTCAATAATAAGAAGTCGATGACCATGAAAAGTTTTCCAGGATAAAAAAGGACTACATTTTATTTTTCAATTCAAAATTTTGGCCCAAGTGATCATTTGATAATGTTAAAACCGGGATTTGAGAGGGAAAAGCTTGAATTTTATTAAGCAATCTACTCCCTATTTATAGATCTATACAAGGTGTATCGATAAGGAAACAAATAACTCTTATAATAATGAGAATACAATTATTCCTAAATCAATGGGAGGAATTAATGCTATCCATGTAGTCTTCCCACAGATTACTGTTCATAGCCGTGGATATCTTTGGGATCGTAAGGTTGAGATTTAACACTCCCCCTCAAGCTGGGAAATATGGATCCGTCATTCCCAGCTTGTCAATCATTCGGAGAAAGACAGAACTGTCCAATCATTTAGTAAGGAAATCTGCAAGTTGATCCTTTGATGATACATGGTCAACACTTACTAGACCACTGTCTAGTTTTTCTTTAATAAAATGTCTGTCCACTTCTATGTGCTTGGTCCTGTCATGCTAGATTGGATTGTGGGCTATGCTAATCGCTGATTTGTTGTCACAATGTAGCTTCATGGGCTCATCCCACTTAACTTTTAGATCTTCCAGGATTATTTTGATCACAGTAGCTCACATATTCCCAAGGCCATAGCTCGATATTCTGCTTCTGCACTGGATCTTGCCACCACATTCTGTTTCTTGCTTCTCCATGTAATAAGGTTTCCTCCAAGAAATGTGCAATACCCAGAAGTAGATCTTCTATCAACAGGTGATCCTGCGTAGTCAGCATCCGTGTATACTTCTAGGATCATTCCGCGATCTCTCTTAAAGAGAATTCCTTTTCCTGGTCTCCCTTTAAGGTAGTGCAATATCCTGTCTACTGCTTGCATGTGAATCTGCTTTGGATTCTGCATAAACTGACTGACCATGCTTACAGCAAATGCTATGTCTGGTCTAGTGTGGGAGAGGTAGATCAATTTCCCTACAAGTCTCTGGTAGGCCCCTTTATCTACATCTGGATCTTCTTTAGCTTCTCCCAGTTTAAGATTAGGTTCTACTGGTGTTGGTGCTGGTTTACAGGCAAGTTTACCTGTTTCTTTTAGAAGATCTTTGATGTATTTCTGTTGTGAAATGAAGATTCCTTTGCTGGAGTGAGCTACTTCAATTCCGAGAAAATATTTTAGTCTACCAAGTTCTTTGATGTCAAATTCCTTAGCCAGATTTTTCCTTAAACTGGCTTTCTCCTCTTCATTACTTCCAGTCAAAATAATATCATCAACATACACTAATAATATTGTGACTCCCCCTGAGTCTGAGTGTTTGAAGAATAGTGTATGATCTCCTTGACTCTGTTGATATCCATTCAAGAGCATGAATTTGGAGAATTTTCCGAACCATGCCCTTGGTGATTGTTTGAGCCCATATAGAGCCTTTTTCAGTTTGCACACCTTGTTACCTTCAGATTTCCCTTTAAAGCCTGGTGGTATTTCCATAAATATCTCTTCTTCTAAGTCTCCATGTAGGAATGCATTTTTCACATCCAGTTGTTCCAGGTGCCAATTGTACTTGGCTGCTAGTGAGAGTAGTATTCGGACAGTATTCATCTTGGCCACAGGTGCAAACGTTTCTTGGTAGTCAATGCCATACGTTTGAGTAAACCCTTTTGCCACTAGTCTTGCCTTATATCTCTCCAGTGTGCCATCAGCTTTGTATTTTACTGAGAACACCCATTTGCAGCCAACCGATTTTTTCCCTATCGGTAGATTGACGATCTCCCATGTTTCGTTCTTCTCCAGAGCCTGCATTTCATCTTTCATGGCATTTCTCCAATTTTTATCAGATAAGGCCTCAAAAACATCTTTAGGAATACGGATATCTTCTAATGAAACAAGAAAATTTTGGTGTGACGATGAAAAATTGTTGAAAGATATAGAGTTGTTTATAGGGTATAAGGGAGGTGGTGAGCTTACCTTATTTCCAGGAGATGGTTCAGATTCTTGGATCTGCTTTGGAGTACAGCTTGAGCTTGTACGTCTGGAGTAAACCTTTCCAAATCTAATAACGTTGTCATGGGTTTCAGGTGGATTATTTTGAGGTGGTGGAGGAATGTCAAGAGGTGCTAGTTCAATTTCCTCATCTTCCTCAAGTTCAGTCTCCCCCTGAAGATGAGTTTTTGAGAAATAGGAATTTTTCTCATCAAAGGTAACATCAATAGAAACAAAGGTTTTTCTTGTGGGAGGATGATAACACTTATAACCTTTTTGGGTTGCTGAATAACCAACAAAGATGCATTTGAGTGCTCTTGGATCTAATTTTCCTCGCTCATGGCTGTGGATATGAACATAGGCAGTGCATCCAAAGACTTTGGGTGCAATATTATGATGGGTTCGAAACTCTGGGTAAAAAGAGGACAAGGTCTCCATTGGAGATTTGAGGCCTAAAGCAGTTGAAGGTAATCGGTTTATGAGATAGGTTGCAGTTAAAAGAGCTTCCCCCCAATAGGATTTGGGTGTATTGTAGTGAAATAGGAAGGCTCGAGTGGTGGCTAGAAGGTGACCATTTTTCCTCTCTGCAACCCCATTTTGTTGTGGGGTGTGAACACATGAGGACTCATGGATGATCCCTTCATTCTGGAAGTATGAGAAAAGGGTTTGGTTGAAATAATCTTTGGCATTATCAGAGCGGAATCTCCGTATTTTTACCCCAAATTGATTTTGGATCATGGAATGAAAGACGGGAAGAATGGTGCTAACATCAGATTTATTTTTAAGGAGATAGATCCAAGAGACTCTAGTGCAATCATCAATAAAAGACACAAACCAGCGTGCCCCGGAGATATTGGGGATTTTTGAGGGTCCCCATATATCACTATGAATAAGGTAGAAAGGAGTGTTACATCTCTCACTTTTGTTTGGGAATGAGGTTCTTTTATGTTTAGCTAACTCACAAGTTTCACAATGAAAATTTTTAGTTTCTATTTTCTGAAACAGTTGTGGATACATATGTCTTAGGATATCAAAAGACGGATGTCCTAGTCTATAATGATGAAGCCAAATAGTGGAATTCCTATCTACTAGGGATAACATGGAGTAATTATTACTAAATTGGTTTGGTTCTTCCAGGTAGTACAATCCAGCTTTCTCCTTAGCAAGTCCAATCTTCTTCCCCGATCTCTGGTCCTGAAATAAGCAATAAGTAGGGTTAAATAAGGCTTGACAATTATGATCATTGGTAAGTTTTTGTATTGATATTAGATTTGTGGATAATTGTGGTACGTGGAGGACGTTTTTCAGGGTGAGTAAGGGAGATAATATGATGTCTCCTTGACCAGCTACCGTGGTAAGAGAACCATCAGCAGTGATGATTTTCTTATTGTTTGGGCAAGGAGTGTAGTTTATGAGGTGGGTAGATGAGTGGGTCATGTGATCTGTGGCTCCTGAATCAATTATCCATAATTCCTTTAGATGATTTCTAGAAGCACTTAAACTGAAAGAAATTGGAGTCTTACCTGAGAGTGCAAGTGAAGAAGAAGCATTTGGTTTTTCAAGAGATACCAGGAGTTGTTTTAATTTGTCAATATCTTCTTTGTTGAATTCTCCAAGATTGGACCGTGCTTCTGGCTTACTTGTAGTGTTGTTGGCATGTGATGTACCCCTTGTTTCACCCTTTTGATTCCACTCCTTGCTGGGGGGTTTACCATGTATTTTCCAGCACGTTTCCTTTGTGTGTCTTGACTTTTTGCAATAGCTGCACCAAAGTGAGTCATTGTCTTTGAACTTTGAAGGATCTTTTCCCTTCTCCTTCCATGACGATTCTTTGTTCATCACCATTGCTGAGCTTTCAACTGTCTTTGGTTCTAACATTACTCCTCGTCGACTTTCTTCTGCGCGAATGAGAGAAATGGTTTCGTTGAGTGATGGCGTCTCTTCCTTGCCGAGGATCTGAACTCTAACTTGGTCACCATGACATAATCATGGAGTCAGTTTCATCCCATGCCCCAAATTTAGGATCTCCTTCTTTTGGTCCTCCTCCAAGAAGGTGGTGTATTTTCCCTTTCCCCTTTAAGTAGGTCTTCACAAATTGAGACCACTTCAGGTAGTTCTTCCCATTTAGACGATAGAAAGATTGAATGCTTTGAAGGTCACCTCGCCCTTGGTGCACCATCGACTCCTCCGTTTGGTCAATACTTGGGGAGGAATTGATTTCTGACATGATGATAGTAATAAAGACTACCTTGGATAGCAATGAAGGCTTTCCTAAAAAAATTCCTCCGAAAGGATGAATTTTTTCTTTTCTCTCGGTTTTAGGAAACCGGACCAAATCTTTTAGCCTTTAAAAGGCTCGGATTATAATAGGGCACGGGCAGGTTTTTTTTTTTTTTTCTTCACGGGTCGCTTATTTGGCTTGCTCGTGGCCGTTCGACTCTCCTCCTTCTGCGATCCGCACGCTTTGCCTGGGACGGAAGAACCGCACACGAGCTCCGCCTATTTGGCTCGTTCGTGGCTGTTCGACTCTCCTCCTTCGGCGATTTGCTCCTCCCGTCGAATCGGAAGTTTGAGTCGCCTCTTCAGCTCGTCTCTCTAGCACGGATTGCGGCTTCGGCTTCTGTCCGTTCGCCAAGCTTCGTCAGGCTGCCTTCGCTCCTTCGTCGGCCTGCGAGATCGAGTTT